TTAAATTCTTCACAGAGAAGTCTTCTGATGGCCTCCTATCAATTCTAGCTCCTCAAAATATTCCAGGTGAGAGCTCAAGCTGTACTGACCCTCCATGTGTTTCAGCCTTGTGGTGGTTACACCGCTGGTTGCCTGCTAGAAATTAGTGCGTCCCTTACTTGCTGTCCAAGTCTGCTCAGCTCCCAATGTCAGTAAAGGTTTGGTGTGCTGGTGAAGACCTCTCTGTTCCTATTCCTGTTGGAAATGTTCCGGCCCACCTCGAGCTGCATCTCTTAACCTCCCTACACAGGTTGGTCCCCAGGACAAGGCTTCTTGATCTAGTATCTTGCTTTTGACAATTTCCTTCCCTGATCGCTTCATTCCTACCCTGGCCCTGGCCTCAGTTTCAGGTCCTTAGCTGTCTTATGAAGAATCTCCTTAAAGATGACCACTTGCCTGAATCCTAAGCATGGTGCCCCCTGGAGTCTTTGCTGTTGGGTTTTCCCCAGGCCCTCAATTTGCCTGGGAAAACCTAGTGCTTGCTTTTGCTGAGCTGATTAAGTCATGAATTCACGTAGCTTTGGCTCCCTGGGCTATGCCCCCACCAGTTTCCTTTTTAACAAGGTGGCATGCTTGGTCTCAGCTCCTCTCTCCTTGCCTGGGATCTCCTAGGAAGAATCTTTATTCCCAACAATTTACCTCCTGAATTTTAGCATATAGAAACTATTGCTTCTTTTTACTCCAACATGTAACTTCTTCAAAAATAATGTAAATGGTTCTCTGGCGTTCATTGTGGATTAACTATTTCACTCCGGATAGCATTAATTCAGAGCATCTTTTAACTGGGTTAACTGTAACACAAAATTTTGTGCAAAGTTTAAAATATATAATTCAGGTTAGATAATTTAGCATTATTTTGAGGCTGAACGGCATTATATAGAAAGAAAAATCTGCAGATCCCAAACAGCTACCTTGAATTTGTTTAATGATTTTTATAAAATTACGTAAGTAAATAATTTAATTGGAGAATAAAGCCTCAAAAAGAAATTGGCAGATACAATTTATTTTGGAGTAAGATTATAAATTGGAAATAACTGCAAGCTCCAAGGGAAATGTTCTCATTTATTCTGGAGTACATTTAAGCCATATAGTGTGAAAATTTTGTGTGATTCTTTTGAAGGGTGAAGAGATTAGGATTCATTCGGTATTACAGATGAGGATTGCTTTGGCTACTTATTAGTTTACCTTCAAGATTTTGGCCCACATACAAAATTTATACAATATTGGAGCATAGGCACCAAAAAATGAAACATATTTTGATAAAGTGAGCCTTCTTCATGACTTCTTTAATACTATCTTTTGAAACCATATAAATCATGATGAACGTTGGTTAAGAAGATTGAAAACCAAAATTAAGAGAAACTCTCTTTTTTCTTTTTAACATATATGGATGGGTTAGCCTGGTGATGGGTATTAAAGAGGGCACGTTCTGCATGGAGCACTGGGTGTTATACACAAACAATGAATCATGGAACACTACATCAAAAACTAATGATGTAATGTATGGTGATTAACATAACATAATAAAAAAAAAAGCATAGAACCTTTAAAAAGTTCTTGCTACATATGCCAATTACACCATCACCTTTGATGGTCATGAATTTATATTTAAACATTGTGAATTTTCATTAATAAAAACTGCTAATTTAATAGACAAAGAGAAACTCTCAACAAAATCAAAATAAACAACTTGTCATGCATAAAATGTAAGTGAAAAAGAACTGTTCACTCTTTGCTTCCTCTTCCTCTTTTTTGGAAAAGAGCCGGAATGAGGAGTCTGTAGAACCACCTATTTATTTCTCAGTGTTCTCTTGAGAAATATTTATTATCTTGGTTATTTAATTTTCCCATCTGTAATTAGAAATCACAAAGTCTGCCTTGAAGTTTGTTGGAAGAAGTCAACGAGTCAAGGAATAGAAGTGTGCATTGCAACCATCAAGTCTTAGATGCACACAGGCATACAGGGAGGCAAGACACTGGTGCTGGAGCCTACCATGGTGCCCATCCTTGTAAACTTGGCAGTCATACACACCTCTGAGTTCCGGGTTTCTCTCCTCTCCATGAGATTATTCTGCATGACTTTTATGGTCCTTCCTATTCTAGACTCTTCTCTATTCCTAGACTCCATCATAACTTCATATAAGCAGAATATTTTTTTCCAGAATTTGCCAATCATACATGTCGGATTCAAAAGATCATTGTAATATGTACCAGATTTTAAGTCTTTTGACTTTTTCCCATTGGAATGAAAATTATTTTCTATGATAAGAAAAATTCCTACAGTAAAAAATGTTGAGTAGACACTTGCTTGAAAGCTGCCCACCCCAACTTTTGTTTTTTGTTTGTTTTGTTTTAATTTTTTACTTAAGGAAGCCCACTTTTTGAAAGAGCATATTCTGGGCTATATTAAACAAGTAAGTCATAGTTGTACATTCTAATAAAGATACTTGCTACTTAAGAAGAAACATGCAGAATTTGAAGCAAAATAATATTAGAATAGAAATCTGAGCCTACCTAAAATAATTAAACTCACTTCACATATAAAGGCAAATTTCAGAGGAGTAACCTTTTTTCAAACAAAAATTAATCAGATTCAATAAACGGTTTAAGTGGGCAGAGTGGTTATCAGGGTATGAGAAGCTATTTGGGGTTATGTGTGGCCGGGTGCAGGAATTCATGCAGGCTTTTAGATTTTATTATGTAGAGATATTTTAGGAGAAGCTAGGCCGAACTGTGGACATATTTGAGTTTAGACTTCATAAAACTTTCAGCTTAAGCTCCTGGAGATCGCTATAGAAAAGGAGGAAAATCAAAACATTCTCAAGGTACACACATGCCACAGGAGCTGTCTCCACACCTATTTTATTCGGTAACTTCCAATCACTGAAGGAGATTCTAATATCAAGTAGTTATTTGTCAGCAAATGTGTCTAAAAATAATTTTAAAAATCTCTGCAGGGAAGCAGAGTCTCTTTTTTAGGTCCAGATATTTTCTCAGGATGACATGGAGTCTGACTACATTCTCTCGTAAAGGTAAATCATGCATGATAGTATCTAATCATCTTCATTGTCTATGTAAAAACGAATGAAAGTTAAGGTTAATTTTTGATAAGTGAATTATGCAAACATAAGTTATATTTGGCTTTGGTGATAAGGCAACATAGAGAACTCGTGCAAGGGTTGTGCACGCGCACACACACAAGCCCACGCACAAAAACTCAAGCACTTTTTCTGCCTTGTTCTTATTCCTTTCTGAGATCAGACTCCTCAGTTGAAATAATATAGGAGTTTTCCCCCAAAAAGTCTGCTCAGCAAAACTTCTATTAATACAAGTGTTTCTAATCAAATACGTCTGAAATGTTTACAAATGTCTTAAATCCAGCAATGACGGCATAATGAAGGGTATGTTGTTGGGAAGAAAATGCCCATCCAAAGTAGAAAAACTACCAGTTAAAAATCACAATACATAAAAAAATATTTTTGAAGGATAATTTCCATTTACCTGATAGGTTTTCCCATAAAAAATTATAAAATATTTTAAAAGAGAAAACAGAATATTTCAATAACCTTTGTTTTAGTTTCCTCGTCTTTACAATCAAGTAGTTGGACTAGGTACTAAGTTTCTTTTCAACTCTAATATTCTATGATTTTAGTCAACATAGGAAGAAGTTAAAATGTGTCCCATAAAATGTGTCCCACTGTTTCATTCAAGTAGTAATAGAAAAGGTGACTTAAAATTGTATGCCTGATAAAATAACCCTGTTATTTTACAGGTAACAAAAGCAAGTCCCAGGGAAGTAACATGACTACCTAATGGTGCCCATCTATTTGAGCATCAATCAATGTCACTGCTTCCAAATCTCTCTAATCATCAAATATTTTGCTTTCTTTTTGTTGTTGTTATTGTTTTATTAGACTCCAGATCCTCCTCTGTACCCCTGGAAATTCTGCTTTAGTAATTATGGGATGAGGTCAGGAATCTAATTTTTGAAAAGAGATCCTCAATATTTTGACTTGTAGTTAAAGGTAGGAACCATAGAGCCACATCAGACTACCTGGGATATAGTGATGGAGGGCAGCAGGTATGTTGCCCAGTTCTTGGGCAGTCTCTCCAGTGTAACATAGCGGCACCTTCCTAATGGGTCCATCACGGTTATGCCACAGACTACCACATAGCAGCATCTTCCTAACAGGACCATCATTGTATGCCACAGGCTATCACTTCCCTTTCCTCCCCACCCTTCTACATGAAAAGCATGTAAGTGACATGACTTGGTGTCTAGGTTACTTTTCTTTGATAGGTTTCCTATGGAAAAAGATATTCCTGAAAGAAACAAGAATTAAAAGAGTGGATCTAAACACCACAGAAATAGAAACAATTATAAGAGAATATTATGAAAAACTACATGCCAACAAACTGGACAATCTAGAAGAAAGGGATAAATTCCTAGAAACATATAACCCACCAAAACTGAAACAGGAAGAAATAGAAAATTTGAACAGACCAATTACCAGCAGAAAAAATGGAATCAGTAACCAGAAAACTCCCAACAAACAGAAGTCCAGGACCAGATGGCTTCACAGGCAAATTCTAACAAATATTTAAAGAAGAGTTTAAACCTATTCTCCTCAACCTATTCCGGAAAAGAGTGGATCTCTAGCCCTTCCTTATCATCTGCTCCAACTTCATATTCTAGAAGTTTAATTCATCTCAACTCCTATAAACTTTCCTTATTGGGAAGCATGAATCTGTCTATCACCACACAACAAACAGTCTCGAGCCTTTTAAGGCAGTCTGGGATTTGGAAATTATTTACTTTACCTCAGGTCATGATGTATAATGCAATGAATTTTTCTTAATTGTTAGAATATATCATAAGAAGAAGGCCTTTGAATACTTATGTCACTAGACTTTCTTAACATTTCTGGTAGTAAAAGAAAAACTTAAATAGAATTCATATCTAATACCAAAGTTGGTTTTATAGAGAGACAATGGAGAGCAAAGTTGCTTCTAAGATCTTCCATGTAAAATTCCAAGCACCTCAACATTCATACTTCCTTCAGTCTCAACATAGATCTTATGTGTTCACTGGAAGCAAATTGTGGCCAAAATACACATTTCTTTTCCTTATGCTACTCATGGATGCCAAAGTTTAGTTTAAGGCTTTTTTTTATGTAGCACACTATAAGAAATATATTATAATTCAGCTCTCAATTAAATATCATTCCTAATCTTTCTTGTTAATAAAAACAGTGAATCAGTTTTTTACCTACTAATTTTGGGGAAAAGTTGGAAAAAAGAAAAAGGAAATGACTTACCTCTAAATATGCCTTCAAATAAAGGAGCTTAACTAAAATCTATACAATTTAACAAAAAAGTAGAATTCAACATAACTGAATTTCTTTTCATATCCTATTTAAGGATTCCAAGTAACTGCATTTTTAAGTCTTGTTGTGTCTAAGGCAGTCTCATGATATGGCTCTGGGGATCAAGTACTCAGTTAAAGCCATAATAGACTACCAAATGATATACAAAAGATTTTGTGAACATTTTATGTTTGCTTTAGAGGCCTGAACTATTAAACCTGTGACAATTTTATTTATTTAAGAGAGTAAACAAGGAGATTAATGATATTAGTCCATCCTTACATCAGTTAAGAAACTATTTATGAGTTGTATTTAGAAATCTACCAAATGTTATTAATGTGTACAATTCTTATTTTTCAATGTAGTTGGGGTCAAGAAAGTGGTTAGTTAATATATGTACCTCAAATGCCTTAAGTGGATACCTATTAAAAGGTATACAAAATATAAATAGTACTGTATATTTTCAAAAATTTTAAATAAACAGAAAGATACATAGGTTTACATGTTATAATTTCAAAGTCAACACTAGCACATACGTTTTTCTTATCTAAATACGTACTAGGATACTTCCTATTTCAACACATGCATCTACAAACACATGGCCATGCACATAACCTTGCTTTCTGCCACTTGCAAGAAAGTTAGAATATACAATATAGTACATTGTTTCAACTTAAATCATATTGGCAAATTAATGAGGATGGCATTAAAAAATTCTGATCTAAGAAATCAAAATACAGGAAGATAATTATTCCATAGATTAAAAACACTGAAGACTGATGAGAAGTTAAGATTTAAATTGTTTGTCCCAGTGATCTTGAAAGACAGAGAAGAGACAGGATTGGCTGTAAACACTCCGAACGCTCTGTTTGGCAATTAGGACTTTTGTCATCTAGCAGTCCAGGCCAGGGACTCAGACCATCGATGCTGCAGATGGCAGAGAAATGGTATAGCTAGGGGCAGTTCTCCGCAAGGCAGGGGGCGCTGATGGAGACCTCGAGGCCCATCTAGATGGGAGACGGCGATTCGCTGGTCTAGCAGGTCGGGAAAACCCTTTTGCATGTGGAGATTTCACTGCCATGGATTCCTAAGAGACAAAGGAAGACATCCATTTCACTATACAGGCACCAACAACGGGCTGAATAGATATTACGGATCCCACCTACAAGGTTAATGTATTAGCATATTCACAAGCAAGTAGAAGCATGGATAACTGAAGAAGGTAACTGTCTAATATTTGTGGTCTTGAATCAAAAGCAACTCACTTTTAATAAGGAATATGGCATTTGATAATCTTGTAGGTCTTTTCACACTGCCGAATTTTAATACAGCTGATCTCTTTTTACAGCTAATTATGAGTTCAGGATTCAAAAGTTTCTGTTAGATAACTTTGATGATGGAATTATAGATGTTTCTCAGTGCGATAGTAGGATGTATAACAGTTACAAAAGATACAAAAAGATAATAATTTATAGAAGAAACCATGCTCATTTATGTCAAGTTATTGGCACTTTCAGAGGTCATTAAGCAAAAGGCACACAGATCACCAAATGATTTGTCTGATGCTATCTTTTTTCCCCGCCAAGAACCACTATACTATTTCTCAGAAGTTTCAAAATTATCACTAAAATACTTCAAAATATAACTTCATTGTAATTGCTAATACAAAATCATTATCTATATTGGGTATCATCGGATGACTTAAAACCTCTTCCTTCCTGTCCCTTCCTTTTCTTTCATGTCTTCTTTCTTTCTATTTTAATGGAAGAAAAACATTCTTAGACACTTGCAGTTAAAAAAAAAATTAAAAAGTTTCCACCACACATTTTATACCAGTATTATTATTGACTTTCTTAACAAAGCCTATGCTCTTTCATCTGAGATGGGTAGTAAGATGGCCTCTATTTCTATGACAATAACCTGCAATTTATTTTTCTCTCTTTGGAATCTTACTTTTTTAGATTTGCTCCCGCAGCTGGGTGAGGGAGGGGATGAAGAACTACTCTTAAGAATCTACGGTAGAGGGCCCCTCCCAAACCCCCAACCAATGCAAAAATGTAGCTGATGAATATTTAACTGGTTATTTTATACATTTCCATTTGCCATCTGAAGCTTGTAGGGCTTCCCATGTACTTATGGACTCAACTAAAAAATGGAGAAATACAAAATCAGGGTTTTGTACCTTGTACAAACAGGCAAGGTTTCTGGCAAAATGGATAAAAACTGGTATTTTTATGGGGGTTGAAAGCCGCATAAAAATAATTTTCACACCAGAAGGAGGCAACCTGCATAGCTTAAAACTATACTGCAAACACACTGCATTTTGCAAAAATATGATTTTTTGAAATATTAGCTAATTATAACAATCTGTCACCATGTAACTTTTTGTAAATTATGCATAAAAAGGGATTGTTGGATAGCTCTTTGTTGTAAATACCAATCTCTTCAACATCTTTTCCTCCTATAGCTAAGGAAAACTATATTCTTTTGCAAACAGACTAGAACAAAAAAAGAATAACAGTTTATTTTTTGGGGGGGGGACAATTTTCATGTTAGGAATTTACACAAATAAGAATGACGTTAAACATTTTTAAGCTATAATATCATTTTATTTCCACGTACTGCCTTTCGCTCCACAAATAAGAGAACTTTATGAGCCATTATTTTATGATGTGTTAGACCCATAGTCACATCCATGTGAGTAATCCCATGAGAAAGAACATGAATCAAATGCTGGGAATGACTGAACCAATCATAGCCAATAACTGAAAAGTGCAAGAAATTATTTTTAAAATATTTCCAATACTCTTTTTAAAATATAAACACTAAAATAATAAAATTCTATAAACCAATAAATGTGCATTTGGAATGTTTTTTTCAAGAAAGAAACTTACAACAAACATTGGATCTTCTTGAGGTTCTTGAGTCCATTTATTTTATTTATGTTGTCCCATTTCAGAATTTTAAAGAAGTTATAATGTACTATTCCCAATCTTAAAAAACTGTATCTTAAGAAGTTCATATTGAGTTACAATCCTAAGGTTTACACTTATTCACAAATAAAGGGTCGAGAAGTTAAGAAGATGCCAAAACATGTGCCTCCATTCTATTTATATATGGGCAATTGACTGAACTCTGAGCTACATATGGATGCAGTTCTCCCAACATACGTTAATTGCTTTCTCACCTCTGTTATCTTTCTCCAATCTACTCCTCGCTTTACTTGCTGTGCTCCACACATAGCTGGCTTTTGCTGAAACTCTTGTTCCAACTGAAGTCTTTCTAACTGCTGACTTGACGTGGGCCCACTGCTGACATCAGAATTACATCTGGTCCAGTTATCCTGGAAGCATTTAGAATTTTGCAATGCAGACCCTGTTGATGTCTCATAGGTTTTCAGCAGCTTTTCCACAACACCATAATTTGACCTAGGATCCGCTGATCTTGGCCGGCCAGACAAATTACTGGGTCTCCAGTCATGCTCTTGGAGCATACTCCGGTAACTGCTGGGGCTCATGTGTTCCTGCATTTGTCTGACTAGGCCTGTTGTGGATATTTTGGTGGGATTGTCAGGCACATTTTTTCTGGGCACAGGCACGTGGGCACTGGTTTTCCGAATATCAGACACATTATCATTTTCTGATATGTTACCTGTATGAGTAATTAAGGTCTCACAGGGTTTATGATCTTCAGATGATTCTGAGTAGCTTTGATTTTGCTGTATTGCCTGACAATTTCTATCTGTTCTAAATACGATTCTGTTAAATTCATCAGTCTTTGCTGCCAGTTTTTCATTCCTAGTTGTTCTCTTAAAGCCACAACTGAAACTTTTAAGTGGGCCATTGCTCTCTGTCACCGAGGAGCTACAGTCACTGCTTATATGAAGATCAGGATGAGATTTAGTAGGGTGATCTGGAATCATCTTTTCACACTGTGGCTTATTGGGAGTCGAGCAGGTTTTCTGAAACCACAATGGAGAGGGACTACTTTTTGCACTGATCCCAGTGTCATACGACCACATGCTAAGTCCAACATTTTCATTACATGGAGGCTTGTTATCTATTTTGGCTTTGGGTGCCAAAGAAGGAAACATGATACCATCTTTCAAAGTCTTCCCTTCATCTAGACACAGCATAGGAATCTCATTGTGCCTCCAAAGGAAATCAGGACTGCAGTTCCTTTCCCCTTGACCCTCCTGGGCCATCTGGCTATTGTGGTCTAAACTTCCCTTCAAACTTTCATGAGCTTGTTTGGAATATGAGCTGGGAAAACTTCGAGATGTGCTTCTTGGAGGTGGAAGTGGTGGAATTTCATTTCTTTGCAGATCAATTGTATCAAGTTCACATGTTTTCCTAGAGTTGCTTTGGAGCACAGTGGTGCTTAGATTCTTTCTATTTTTCTGCTTTTCTTTTTCTAAATCGATGGGAAGAATGCCCTGGCCATGGTTGATCATGTGGTCTCTCTGAGGCATATTCATTACATTTGGCATTTCCTGAAGAAAAGAATCTGACTTCATCCTAAACAATTATAAAACATGATATATTAGTGATAATTTTATTTAGGACAAGTTCTCAAAAGAAACCATGGCTTAAGCAATGAATGTCTGCAATAAGAAAAGGACTCCCAACTTCCTCAAACAGCATTTTCCTATAAATTCTCTATCAAAACCTCCAAGTCCTTTTTCCTGTAGGATAAAGCTCACTTCCCAGTGATGCATTCATGGTCTACATGCTCTGACCCAAGCTATCTTTCCATTATATTCCCAAACTGTCTCTTCCACTCAGACTAGACTGTGTAGTCTCTTGGGTGTCTGCCACTGGCATTCCCTTTCTCCAGGTTCTCTCCTACCATATTGCCTCACCTTTGCTCTACCTACTGAATGCCTAGTCATTATGTCATGTGAGCTCAACTTCCTTCTCTTGAATTTGAAATGACATTCTAAGCTAAGAAGTGTGACAGAAATCTGAATACAAGCTCAGTGAAACATGAGTAATACCAAATGGAAGGTGCCATTTGGGCTTGAAACAAAAGTAAGAATTTTTTGGGTCAGTAAAGGGCATATAGGCAAAGTGAGCCACAATAAAAATAGTGGGCTCTTCAAGGAATAGAGAGTACTTTGGTATGGCTGGATCATAAAGCAGAGTGGGAGGGATGAAAGAAACATTAGGTTAAATTGTAATGTATTTGAATTACACACTAAGGATTTTGAGCTTTTTTCTAAAGTGTATGGAAGAGCAAGAAGAACTTTATACCAGGTGTGGTTTGTAAAAGAAAATTGGCAAGTGAGTCTTTTCTAAGTTCAATCAAAACAAAAAACCTAAATAAAGCAACAATATAAATTCACAAATTAAATTGATCATACTGATAAATATAAATCATATTTATATCTCTTCAGCTTGTAAAATGTTACAAGATAGAATACAATAAAGTGTAGATAATTATTCTCAATAATAGAAAATGGTAGGCAAAAGCAAAATGGGCAGGTAGAGGGTAAAGTTACATATAAAATATGGTTGAATAAAAAAGTCTATTGGAAGTCAATACAAAAATTCTTTCAGAGCTTCCTAAGAGCTAAAGAGAAATAGGGTACACACTGCTGTTTCTAAGAGGAACACACCCCTCATTAGGAGAAATATCTTGATCCTAGAACAATCCATTTTTACTTACCTTGCAGAGAATTCCAATTTATTTTTTAATTTGGTGAAAACTTAATTTTACAATTATATAGGTGCTTCTAAACTGAAACAGCATTTTTTAAATATCACTGTATATGTGTGTATACATATTTGGAATATGTTGTTCTAAGAATTATGTATGCTTCCACTATATACATAATAAATGTAGAGAAATAAATGACTCTTAGGTATAAAATACTTCAGTAGAACATCATTATATAATTAAAACTCCACATTGTTAAATCTTAAGATATATTTAACTGGGTTAGCCTTGCTGCGTACTCGTCCACTGGCCAAACACTCAAAATGGAAAAGAACTACATTTAGAAGGTACTTGTTACTTTGTTCTGGAAAGTGTACCTTAACCAAACACCAAAAGAGTGCAGTATTCCTCACAGTCAAATTACGGAGAGAATGAGAAGATTTGGCTTAGGAATTAGTAAACAGAGAAATATTCAATTAAAGTCTTTATCTCCTATCTAAGATAACAGATTTTAATAACTCATTGTTAATTCGCACTAACCAAATATAAAGAGGAGGCAGTTTGGATTCATTCACTGAAAACAATATTTCTCTTGATTTTCTGATATAAAATAATCATAGATATACCAGCCCACCTTCTGTGGTTAGACCGCTTTCGGATTTCCTCTTGAAAGCTGCATAATTCTTCACTAACTTTGGCAAGTTCTTCAAGAGCCTTTATACATATAAGCAATAGCATGTTAGCAGTTTGAAATGTAAATATTTCTGTAGAAACAGTTCTAGGCCAATCACAATCTTACTTACCAAGTTGAGGGCCCCAGAGCAGCTCCTGCCCTCTTCCCTCAAAGTCCTCAGACCAGGGCACGCCTCACATTCTCTTTGGTTATCTGTGGCCAAAGGATCCATAAACCCTACTTTTGATTTTTTTGTTGCTTTTTGTTCCTTACACATTTCATTTCCTTCACAGAGTAAGCTCTGCTCTGTTTTAGTTTCTTTTTCCAGACCATCCCGGTAATTCATCCTTGTAAATTCACATCGTCCTGAACTGGGGTAATTTGGAGAAGATTCCAGCACTTGATCTTGAATTGTTTTCTCACGATCATGACTGATGATCTTAGCACGTTCATCCATGTTGATTTTCCTCCGAAGCTTTACTTCATGGCAAAGCTGCAAAGAAAACGAAGAGAAAACTTTTTCTCCCCCTAATTTACTTTGTCAACATTTTGAATACGAAGCACACTATTTTGAGTTCTCTTTGCCATATCATGATATACTAAGTATCCTGGGGTATTAATGCTCATGCCTCTGAGTAGTACTTCTAAAACCTGATCAGCCAGAATAACTCTGATGAACCATAAGGACTACTCTTAGTAGGTCAAACTATGGATGGTGATTTCTATACCTCTGCGTAGAAATCAAACTCATTCAAAAATAAACCTGCTCCTGTAGAAACATGTCATAATGATGCAGAAGCACTGTTAACAAAGTTGGAATGTCCTGAATCAATTACTGGTCATGCTCTCTAATTGCTTTCAGAGAAAAGCAAGAATTTAACTGATATTAAAGTGATGTTTTAAAAATATGTGATTCCACTTGCATGCCAACATTGAAGTGTCTAAATATTTTGACAGTATCATATAGTATGCTAGTTCATTACATTCCCCAAGTGGACATTGTGCAACCAAAGGATGTTTCCTTTGGAAGTTATGCTGGTGTTATTGACATGTTGCTCGGTATTACTGAGATTTATTTTTAAAAAGAGATTTTTTTTTTCAAAAAAGATTTCTCATCCTGATTAAAACACATGTGACCCTGTCCTATGTGATATTAGAACTCTAAGGCTTCCATCATGTATTAGTCTATGTTAAAGTGGATCCCAAATTATTTCTTAATGAGAGTTTAGTTTTACCTCCAGGCACTCACACAACTCACCCCTAAATAGAGGAAGTAAGTGGCCTTTCTCTTTAGGCTTGAGCTGGGGGAAAGCTTGGCAAATTTCAAAGGAGTCTGTCAGATAACTATTTACGCAAATGACTACATTTTACTGCCACAACTTATATCTACACCACATCTATTATTCAAGGAGTATAATAACAGATTTATTGTTGTTCAATATTTACCCAAATCTCAGAGAGAAGCACTATGCATAGTTGATGCCTGAAGTCTATACAGTACACATATTTCCATAGATACTTACACATCTATCATTGGATGATCTCAGGATAGCATCAAATTACAGCCATGGATCAATCGTTTTGGCCCTCATAAAATTACTTGTTATGACCTATTGTGGGCATTATGATTTGGGCTGACCTTGAGAGATATTATACAAAGTAACCCTCAAAAGTTCATGTTAACCTAAGGATGCTTATGGTGACACTGTCCTCTTTTTAAGGAGCTATGGGTGAAAACAAAATTGTTTTATTTTCAAAATCAGGGACAAAAGTACTATTCCTGGGAAACAGGTTTGCCTTTGTCTTCTGAATATTGAGAAATCTGCTAATTTTTATGTTACAAGAAAGAGAGACTTGCTGCATGCAATTCACATAAGATCCTTCCTCCTGTCTTCATCTCATCGTTTTGTTTGTTTTGAAATACTTTACCTTATGTAAAATTTTATATACCATCTTAAATTCTCTTGGGATTTAAGTGAGGTATGGATAAGCAAATAATATGCTATTGATAGAAAACAAATTATTTTGTACATGAAAATCTGTGTTACTTCATACCCAGCACTTGTTTATGGTTCTCTGATCATTTGAACAAAACAAGCAGAAGAGATTGCAGTGTGATTAAAAAAAAAAAAAAAAAAAAAAGAATTCCCAGAAACCTAGGAACTCTGTTTAGGGTTTCTATCTGGATTACCCCAGTTTTCAAATACATCTGGATTTTGCAATAGCAAATGCAATGATTGTGGATAGTGGCTGAGCAAAGAATCATTAGCATCTTAACACTCAACACTGGATCCTCTCACTGGAAGATATCTCTTGGAACCAAGTCACATGTGCACATTTGGGAATCCACAATTCTTTAGTACATGGCTTAATAACTTGTGTCTGAGTTAATACACACAACTTAGTGATATATGTTAAACAAATACAGTCTATTATGCTTGTGGCATGTTATAATTTTTTGAAGTGTTGATGTTTAATTTTAGTTTAAAAAATGTCTTGATTCTCTGTGACATGTGAGGATACTTTCCTCTTGTTTTCCTCAAATTTTCCTACCCTTGTTTGTAGCCTATAAGACAGATGTGTTAAAGGTACATTCCTATAGGCTACAAAGCTGGGAGTGGAAAAGAAACATGTATTAGTATGATAAAGGGAGCACAATGCTAGTGTTCAGGTATGAAAGAGCATCATGTATGGGTATTCTGGGTAAGCACATTGTTCAAACATACTCCCAGTAATGGAGCTGAATATTGCAGGCAGCAAGACATAAATAGTACCATGGCTACTATCCAAGATGAAGAAAATGTATTATAGTCTTCTACCTCGTGATGCAGAGAGAACAGTATTTCTATAAACTATCATCCTATGTTTAAAATACGTTTAATGCATGCTCATCAAAAAGGCTAATATTTACCATAGACAGAATCTACAGAGTTGTCAGAATAAATTTGACAATAAAATATCTAACCTGACAGCAGATTATTTCAGCCACATGGCTTAAACAATTGGCTAGGCTAATCCTGACTCCTTTAATTTTTTTTGCTTGGATGCTAGAATGTTTTTTTAAAGATTTTATTTATTTATTTGACAGAGAGAGACACAGTGAGAGAGGGAACACAAGCAGGGGGAGTGGGAGAGGGAGAAGCAGGCTC